GCGTGTCTTATGGAAATTCGAAAATGAAAGCATTATTAATATACCCGCAAATGTTATGGTGAAGAAATGGTTGCCACAAAGTGACATCTTGGCACACCCTAATGTACGCGTATTCATCACGCATGGCGGGCAGCTGGGCTTGCAGGAAGGTGTGCATTATGCAGTGCCAATGCTGGGTATGCCCTTCTACTGTGATCAGGTATGTGTAGATCTCAATCAAAATCATACCATAATGCCACAAGCAATACAAATTCTTCTTCCTCTTCCCTAACAGCACCTCAATCTGAAGAAAGCTGAATTTGGCGGCTATGCCGTTACCTTGGATTTCCATAAGCTTACACGTGAAACTTTGAAGGACGGTCTGCACCAGTTGCTCTTCAACGCCACCTATCGCGAAAATATCAAACAAATTTCACGCATTTTCCACGATCGTCCAATGGGGCCGCGTGAGACGGCACTCTACTGGATCGACTATGTGATACGCCACAATGGGGCGCGTCATTTGCGCGCTGCTGGCTTGGATTTGAAATGGTACCAATTCTATTTGTTGGATGTAGCTGCTCTCTTCATGGCTATTATGTTTTCAATAATGGGAATTGGTTTTGTATTCGTGCGTTGGCTGTTACGGCGCTGCAGCAGTTGGCAAGCCACAAAAGAAAAAACTCAATGATGAATAGTTTTCAAATACCTCTGTCAATGAAAGTGTATATCCTTACGTTACTTTTAAGTTCTAGACTGGTACAATTACTAATTTTAATATATGTATATATTTTTTTACGTAGAAATAACTGAAATAAAATTAATTCATCTGAGCTATCGCCAGTTGAATCATAGCCAAAGCGAGCAGGTCAGCATTTCTTCCGACAGGTTGGAGATTTCTTTAGAATTGTGTTACTAGTCAGTCCGAAGTAGATTTAGTTTGGACCCCTCATGAGTTATCTAGTTAGCCGCGTTGTTTTCAATGCAGAATTGGATCTCACCCCAATCGGAACCAGCTATGTATGTATGTATATGTACATTTATGTGTATAGGGAAATTTTCCGACTACTATAAGTTCTGTAGAAGAAACGAAAATGAACAGCAAACAACAGGGCACCACTCTTTCGCTTCTTAAAAGTGGCAGGTATGGTAGGATAAATGCGAGTTCACAGTTTGTGGAAGACAAAACACATATACTCTAGAAAAACTAAGTTACATATTAGTGTTGCCAGATTTTTTTTCCAGCCACACGGGACAAACGCATAATTTGTCCCAAAAGTACGGGATTTAGAAAAACTTAACAGGACAAATAAAAAATTAAGGATTTGCTTTAAAAGCCCAACTACGAACCATATATTAACAAAGGTGATCTATTTCAAGGTCTAATATTACGGACAAAACCATATAAACAAAGTAAGAGATACAGTTGCGGTCAAAATAATAGTACCAAAATTCAATAATCTTCATTTAAAATATGTGTCGATCTATATCAGATACCCAATATTTAAATAAAAATTTCAAAACTTGCACAAAGTTCAAAAAAATAATTAAACTTAAAAACTGTGCATCAAAATTTCGATTTTTTTAATGAGATTCCCACGAAAGATTTCGATTGTGCGGTTTTATGGCTCATTAAATTTTGGTATAATATAGAGCAAGTTTCAAATCTTTGAAAATTACCGTTGATTTTTTAGATTTATTTTTTTTTGTGGAGGGTGTTACTCATTTTCTCCATATGAAAACATTCTAAAAAATCAACGGCTAATACGTATACACACATATGTATATAAGTTTGTAATATAACAATCAACATATGATATGTGCTTTTGGTCTAAAAGTATGCAACACTTTATTTCTAAATGCAAAAGCAGCATTCACATCGAGTGTGTTAATCAACAGAGTGACGTATATGCCAAGTACAGGCTGTGACAAAATGATAAGGTCACCTCAATATTCATTCATATTGCTTATGTCTTTAGCTGTTATCTAATTTATTCAAAAACTTACTAAATACATTAAAAGTTTTTTTTAATTTTATTTTAACTTTAAAGTGAATTGAAGTTTTTTTTTTAACTGGCGGAAGTCAAAAATTAAAAAAAGAAGACGAGTTTCTGGCAAACAGCCCATCTGAGCTTAAAAGAACGCATTTCGGCTAAAAAACGCATTTCCTCTAAAAAAAATTCTAGGGGAAGGGGGGCACGGCACATATTTAGTTTATGGCCCGGATTTACTCTTTGCAGCCTTGCCGATGGTTATCTACAATAACAACACAACTCAAAATTTTATGTTTTTAAGTTATATAGTGCATAAGCTTGACAACCATATTTTTTCGGTGACAGGTAATAAGATCAACGGAAATAAGGTCAATTGACTTTATTTCGCGCCAGGGTGGGAAATAAAGTCAATTGACCTTATTTCCGTTGATCTTATTACCTGGCGCGAAATAAAGTCAATTGACATTATTACCTTTTTAAAAACGAAATAAAATCCATTGACATTATTTCTCTTTCAAACATTAAACTTGCTTACATTAAACGTCACGCTACGCCGCGGCCCACCTTCCCCGTCTCCCGCCGTGCTGTAACGCAGGTAGATTTATTTTTTATATACGTTGAAATAAAATTATTATATATTTTAAACATCGAGGGCTTATATTCAATAAAATACCCTCTATCTGCACTATTTTAGTTCAAATGGCACTTATTTTTTCAATTTGGCGCAAAGTGCCAAAAGGGCACTTTTGTAAAGAAAATTACATTTCAATATATTTTTGTGAAACCCTTTGCGTGCACTTCTTTTTCTCAACTAAAATTTTTTAATTTATAAAGGCTATTCAACTGGTTTTTCTTATTTTATCATTGCACTTTTGTTTGGAAAATGTAGCTTTATTTTTTTGCTAAATGTGAATGATTAAAAGGAATGACACCTTTTTTGGCACCTTTATTTTTCTACTTGGCACATTTTCGCACTTTTTTATCCTCAATATGGCACCTTATAACTAAGGATAGTTGCCAGCCCTGATTGGAAGATTTCTGCTGCGTTTTGGAGCAACAACTTGTCTGCAGTAAAAAAGCATATAATTTGTGTTTCAAAAGTGTGTGAAAACCAATCAATTAACTTATATGATCTCGGTTCCGATATTAAATAATCAATAATTGTTTATACCCGCATTTTGGCACATTGGCTCGTTGAATGTGCCATCTAATAAATAGTGTCGTCATTCTCCTTAGCTGCTTTTAAATGATGTCGTCACAAAGAGTAAGAAAATTATTTTTCTATAATTTTTTCCTTATAGAAAAGTTGGTTTCTTTTCCACCTTAGACATTCCGAATTCGTTCAAAATATGCTAATTTAAAACACAGAATTCTTTCAGTGTTCCTCCGGGGTTTTTGGACATGGACTGTTTCTTCAATTTAATAGTATTCGCTTTATTTTTGTGGAAACGAAACATGTTTTGCAAGTTATGGATCATTTCTACACTCTTTCTTCAAATATTTCTCGTATTCCAGCTGTGCACAGGCGATTAGTTTTTCGCATCGTGTTTTTACACATTCGTAATTAAAATTGTTTTAATAAAATCAAATGGTGGTAGTTCATGATTGTGTGTGGATTAATATCACAACACTGAGGATTTGGCAATAACCTTTTTCATCTATTAAAAAACAACACTTACGGGGCAATGTTTATTGTAAGAACAACATTTTTTTCTATGAATCGACATACTTTAAGCATTGTTGACGCTATTTCCATTTGAATGAGGAAATAGCGTCAATGACTTTATTTCCAAATTTTTGTTGACTTTATTTCCATTTTGAAAAGGTAGTAATGTCAATTGACTTTATTTCGCACCAGGGTGGAAAATTAAGTCAATTGACCTTATTTCCATTGACCTTATTACCTGTCACCATTTTTTCTATGGAACAGCGACATATGTATGTATGTAGGCGATTTGCCTGCGCTAGCGGCGTTTAATTAATAACTTGCAAAGTAAACTAGATATCTTCAGTCGGCATTTTTAACAATCCAGAGAAAATCAAGAATTTAAAAAATAAAAACCGTTTTGTTAAAAGAAAATTTGAACTAAAATTATTTTTAAGTTAAATTGATTTTTATATAAATAAACAAATTTCATTAGTTATTAATTTCTTTACAAAAAATTACAACAATTTCACATCTGCAAAAAAATAAAATGTTTCTGAATCTGAGCTATCAGAGACTGATAAATCAGTTTCCGGATTCTTCATTAAAAGCATGCTCATAATGTCCTCATCCAAAATAATTCCTTTTGCAGAGGATGATACGCTCTTAAATACTAGAAAGCTCCGAAAAGCCCTTTTGCACTGCAGTGGCATATCTAGCCATGCCTGGTAACGTTTCTCGAAATGCACCCTATTTTTACCACAAGTACTCTATCTTTCGGTAAGCCTGCTATTAAAATTTTGCAGTTTTCTATAAATTTTGCAATGCTGCGGCTTACTTAAAATAACATTATTAAAAATGTGCCCAAAGCATAGTTTTTCATAGCTATGAACTCCTTTGTAGGGATTTCTTCGTCGTGCCATAATAAATAAAGCTCACGTTTTGTTACTGACATTGTATATAAAAAGTGCAAGGGTTCATAATTTTTGGACACACTTCCAGAAAAAGCTAAATTTGGACTAACGACGGTTGAATTTGCTGAAGTTCTACTCCACGAAAAACAGGTGTACGCTAGCAAGGGTACGTTTTGAATACACTTAACTTCGACTTATGTACGTTTTATAACATACATAGACGGGTCACTGGCATTGATGTTTAATGCAATACATACCCTGATATGAATAAAAAACTACACGCTTAAGTAAACAAATAAATATTGTATTTTTAACATATGTTGTATTTGGCAGCTCACGGCCGTTCATCTGTATTTAGGAGTGCTTATAAAAAATCGTTAATAAGCTAATCGAAGCATCTTTAATCGATAAGATATAAAAAAATGCACGCATTTTTAAACTTGGAAATTTGAAATAACCTCCGCTAGAGCAGCCAAATCGCCCACTGTGGGGAGGGTAGGAATTGTATCAATTGTCAGAAAATCGAAGTACACAACTCTTAAGCCTTGTTTTCACTATGTCAAATTCAATGACATATGTCGTCAAATAAATGAAAACACATTGTCAAATGCGATTAGAAAACGGTATATCGACTGAGTTAGATCAGGATAGGTCTTCAGTCGTATAACTACATGCGCTGCTATACCAGCTATATGTTCGCTTTTGGCCCATAATATCATCAGCGAAGGTGCGGATGAAAGAGATAAACTTGTGTCAAAATATGTCGACAAATTTTGATGTCAAAATATGACATAGTGAAAACCGGTCTTTACAAGTAAACAGTGGGCATATGTTTGGATTGCGACCGAATGCCTGCGGGTGGTTCCAGATTTATCGAGAATATTGCGATCGCTGAAACACTGTCGATCGATTAGAAATGTTTTTTATAAGGAAATAGTGATATTTTTCGCATTGCGCCATTAGTCGGTAAAAGCAGTTTACTTATTCTCTTTTAACCACTTAAAAATAGTTACTCATTATTTAAAGAAAAAACTTGTTCAGCCCAATCCTTATGAACTCATTATAAAGCTCCGAAATAAACGACAAGGCATAAATCGCTAAATTATGAAACGTGAAAAATTTTTATTGGCTCTACTTAAAATTGGTGTTATTTGAGTGAAGTCATTATTGCAGAGTAGTATTAATGTGGACATGCACCATTTTTTATAAAGCAAAGTTTTGTTTAAAAAGTCAGTAGCAATTTGTTTGAATTCATTTGTGAAAAACATACAAAACGCTATCAGGTAAAACATTTGTCT